GGTAAAGACCCTTTGGCAGTCATGCAGTCGTATTGACGAGTTTACCGGACTTGCTTGCAAATCTATATCCTTCCGACTTTATGCGTCCCTTGGCAAACGAATCGTTTCTTTTTTCCCCCGCTGCTGAATGCCCCCTCACACCAGAGAAAAAAGGAGGCATCGGAGGATCGCCTTGAAATTTCCGCGTCAAAATCTGACATTACCGTAATGCGAAGAACCACTGATGCAAATAAATCATTGGTTAATCGAAGCAGCGCCAACACGCATCTTGGCCTGCGAAGGGGGACTGCTTTTTGTCGGAATGCATTCCTTTCCAAAGAGGCGATCAAGGAATGCACAATAGCTCAGAAGCACGAGCGCGGTATCAGAAGTGCCAGGTTAGCGATCCTAGAAACGTCAGAAAGAATCGCCCTACGACGCTGCAAACAACAATGGCGCGGTAATTAACAATGTAATTTGTTGTGGCGTACGCGATAATGGTCTAGTGGTTGCAATTCAGGCATTTGGAGAGCCTTTATCTCGCACTCTGAAGTGACGAAAGTTGTGCACTGTCTGCGTTTGCGGAGCGGGCTACCAACTGGGCTAGGCAGTTCATATATCACTCGATCGCGGGAACTACTTTTAACGCACCCGGGTAATGAGGCAAGTGGCTACTGTCGGCTGGGATAAATCTGACCTTAGATTCCATGCAGAAGCACAAAACGGATTTCGCGTACCTGTGCAAAACGTGGTTGACGGGCTATTCGGTGCTGTCATGACTCGACGTGGTGACGGTGCTCCAATCCAGTCGGTGCCATCAGTGTTGACGCGAAGTTCTTGTAAACCTGAGCGAGGTGGAGCAGTGTCGTCGGTCGGGCGACGATCCATCGCTCGCACCGTTCGCTCTCCTCGTTTTTGCCCCTCTATCACGCTCACTACCGATCGAATTCAACTAGCACTGCTAGCCTGCAATAGACTGAACATAGTGCGTTTATACTGTGAAGATCATCAACACCTCGTCATTTCATAAAAAATAGTCGTGTGTACGGTAGCTCGCAGATGCCGTCATATTTTAGGGCTCATCAAGCGAAACTTAGCCAACAATTGAGACTTTGAAATCACATGGCTCAGAACTGTTCAAGAAGATAACGGCAGAGAATGTAGAGCAGTAATGAGTCCTCGGCGCTCTTCGGCTTGGGTGGGGCATTCTGCACTTTCGCTTGTTTCACTGGCTAGTTCCTGTTGAAACACTTCTCAACTGGGT